TGCTTAAATCAAGAGAATTGTATAAACTCAGAATCGTACAACTTCGACACTACACACCACAGACATGTGATACACACAAACTTACCTCGGCTGCCACATAAATAGTACTTTTTTTAGTAACACTGAGTTGTCAAGTGTCTCATGAATACTCCTTTGTGAATTTTTGGTAGGGGTGAAGATAGTCAGAAAATACCAATGTTTCTTTGAACCCCCCCTAACAGATTTCTTTTTCTGCTTCCCTTTCACAATTTATTAGTCTTCTTTTTTTCACCTCTAGATAATACAGTCTGATCAGGGTTTAATTTCTAAAATTAGACGTGTCGAAGTCCTATGGAAAACCGCCAGCAAAGAGGAACAAGAGTAAATAAATAAATAAATGACTATTAAACTCATTTTAAATTAATGGTTAATATTATCATTATTCTAGCTATTTATGAAGTTTATAATTGCTATTAATCAATAGTTATTACAATATTATATTAATGATAATTCTTAGATAATATTTTATTGAAATATGAGGCTTAAATAGTATGGAACATAGGTATACATCAATTTAATGATCTACAAGTAGGTTCTTACATTCCTCTATGTAATCACCAGAAAAGCTTAGACTTTTACCAAATGGTCGGAAGCGTGAGACCAGAGGCAAGTATTGATTGTTGATGTGCCGACGCGTGCCTTACTGGGGAGTACATGAAAACGTCATGAAATCGGTGACATCGAGAGGTTCCTTCAACTTCGGAAGCAAAGTCACAAGGATCGTGTCGGTAGAGGGGGTGTTCCAGGATTTCCACTGGACCGTCAAAAGGAGAGGACTGTTGCAACATGGAAAGCATTTCAGAATACGACGGGAGATTGTTGTCATAATGTTGACATTTCGCCGCAAGGACATCAGAGGTGCTGAAACGGCATGTATCTGCATTGACAGTTGTCCTTCTGTACGCGTGAAGTATCACACCTCCACTTCCATAATAAGTATAACCTTCACTGATGGGCTTGTAAAAATTCTGGACGTGGCGAACCTTTGAACGCCATTTTATTGACAACTTTAGGCTCAGGTCATGCCCATTCTCTATGGTGACATCGCTGCAGAATTGTCTTAATTGCGTATCTCTCCAGTGGGTGCCAGCCAGTGCATAGCGGTGCCATTCTCTGTACTTTGGTTAGCATGTGGAACACAGCGGTAAGCCTTTCTCTGTTGTGGACTTGTTCATTATGCACCACCTGTTTGATGACTCAGACCACCTCTAACGAAATCTCGGACAGTCATCGGTGGTCTATGGTAAGGAGACGCTAGATGTCAATTGCTTGAAGAATGGAGGGCCGACCTGTGCATTGCAAATCCGCAGTCTCATTCCGTCCTGAACAAAATGCTTGAACCCATCGTGCTACTGTCCTATACAGCAAAGCATTTGTGCCACAGGCTTCCACTAATCCTCGACAGCATTCTGTTGTATTTTTGCCTCGGCAACCTCGATTTTAAGCCACGACCACTGATCACCTTTTGAAAGCATACTTTAGAGAGATGGAAATGAAACTCCTCACTTTAACGGCACACAGCAACTACCCTTCTAAGCAGATTGACTGTTTTTTTGCACTCTACGTATCAACAACAGTGCCACTTCACTGTCCCCATATCCTATTTGCGCATGCCCGCCCTTCTGCGAGTTTCAAGGTTAAGTTGCCACTATTTATTTTACAACCCCCGTAGTTAAATAATTAAAATTAAATGTAAAGAGATAATTAACATTTAATAAGCACTTTTTAATATAATTTTATTGCTAAAAATAAAATTTTCGAGATACAATTTCTACTGAAATCATTATTCAGTTACATAAAAGAGGTGCCGCAGCTTTCTTATTTAGGGCTCCGGCTAGAACTATGATTTATTACAAAAACTAAGAAGCACAGAAGCCGGCCCAATTTTAGCTCTGATGGTAGGGGGGGGGAGTTCTTTTATCATCACAAAAATTAAATACACTTAATGTATAGCTGATGAAAATTCAGATAATGCTAAAAACAGGGTGAAACAGAATGAGGGTATGAATGAGTGGAAACATAAAATGAGGAGAATCTTGGTGAGAGTGAATATTCTGTTTGACCACGGCTCTCTGCTGATATAATTATAGCAATCAAGCAAATGTGTGTCAGGAGCAAAATGAGTCCCGAATCTGACTCCTAAGGATGAATCTAAAGTTGCTGGATACACTTCCGCCCCCCCCCCGGATTCGGTTACATTAGTGGATATTGTGGGAAGACTATGTATAGGACAAGCTTGAGCAGTTTATCTCAGTATTTCACTCTTATTGTACTCGCTGTCACTTAACGCACATTTAAGAACACAAATTTTTCTTCCTGCAAAGATAACTAACTGCAACCATCGATAGCAATATACTAGATACGATGGCATGGAGAGAAATTTACACGTTCCTAAACAAACTCCCCCAAATTTATGGCCGTTCATAAAGGGAAATGTTTCTGCATGTGAGCGAGGGGACTTTACATGAACTTCTCATGAGTTTGCACTTCTAGGGAAATAGAGTATTGCAAAGTCTGCTTATTGTTAAACTAAAACGTTAGGAATTCTAAATTTTTTTCCCTTGTAATTGTGGCTTAGTTTTATAAAAAGAAGTACAGGAGCTCATCTTACTTAGGGCTCCGGTGCATTCCGGATAGAATAGTAATTTATCTTAAAAATTGAGAAGTACCGCCGCAATTTAAGCATCGAGTCCGATACTTTAAAATAAGCATTTTAAGGCCAAAATGACCCTCCTTTCATTTATGATTATAACATGGGATATCATTATTGCCCAGATTTAGAAGACTTTATCAAGTCAAAATACTTGACCACCTTTCATAGCAGTTGTTACCATGACTATGAGACAAACGAGAATGAGAGAAACATAGCATTGAAATGCCTATCCTAAAGAACTAATTACAGAAATATATTGCTCCATATCATTTTAAACCTTTCTTTGAAACTGCAATAACTAATCACTTCCAGCTGATGAAATTTTACAATTTTTAATTATAAAACATTAAATAATTATATTTCATCTCAGCTTTGGCATTTCAAAATTAGATTTACTAAATTATTAAGAATAAATTTATTAAAACTTAGTTTGCCATTTTTATAAGGTTTTAATAACAGTTGATTTATTAAAACAAAAAAGAACTATTTCAAATTTTGGTACTTCCTTCTTATGGTTCCCAACACTAAATTGATAATCAACCAAGATATCTCGCCATGCATTCTTATATTTCACTACATGTTACATCTCAGTTGATTAGCAATTAAATTTAGGGGGCCACTATAATAAGGAAGTACCCAGAGTTACTTTTAGAAAATCACATCTAATTTTCATTGTTATCAAAATTGTCTGAAAAATTTGGGTAAAGTGCAAAATCGGCCACTTATGTGACATGTATCGATATGTACATAGACAAAGTCAAGGGAGTGCACAATGCCAAGTTTGTGTAATTCTCTAGTGTTTTTTTAAGTGAAAATAGGACGATGTGTATGTGGATACCCAGTTTGTGCAATTCTTTGACTTGTAATTTTTATGTTGGCGATTTTGAGGAGCCCGCGAAGCAGTGCGTGATTCTGCACTTTCCCCAAAAATTTAGTAAAGTAATTATAACATTCAATCTAGAAATTAGAACAGGATGAAATCACACATTTTAAATTGAGACTTGCATTCAAATGAGTCTGCAAATATTAAAATGGTAGCAAACTTATATAATTTACAGATATAAGATTATTTCATAAAGGTTGTATACTGAAATAACTTACCCCAGAATTATCTTGCTGATTTAAAACGTGCAACAAATGTTCTTCAGTATGAACTTCCTTCATTAAATTTACATCAGCATTTGAAGGAAGTGTATGTGTTTCAAACTGATGGCCGAAAAAACATTCATAAGGACTTTTGGTACTATTGCCTGATAACGATGTATTTTTCTTGAGTTGAATGAATCTTAAACCTAAACTCCATCTGCCTGAATTATTTTCAGACATCCAAGACTTTAGCAAAGAGTTTATTTCAGAAACACAGTTTTGAGCAACTTCATGCAATTCAAAATAAGCATCAGAACCAGAAAAAATTGTTATATCAGGCCACGATTGCTTTAGATCTTGAATGATTGTTAACAGGAAGTGGTGATCAAAACTGCTGTGTAAGATTTGTGGAGATCCAATTAAAGTGAAAATGTTAAGAAGATGAGAAACAATTTCATAAATACACTTACAATGCATAGGATACAATACACTGAAACAGGTTTGAAGGTCAAGATACAAAAACACAAACCTATATTCTCCATCTGGAGATGAACTTAAATCAATTAAATCTATATAACCTCTAGTAAAGCTGCAGAAAGAACTGCATTGTCTAGTTTGATTTAGATCAATTTTAACAGTTTCTTGATTTCTGACTATTGGTGATCTTTCTGAATAGTCACCTTCACTGCTTACATTTAAAGGACTGTCACAAATTCTGTCATTGTGCAAGGAAGAAGGCACAACTGTTTTAGAGCCTGACTTCCGTGTTGATTCGCGTTTTCGAGGCCTACATACTTTGCAGAAAGAAAGAAAAAGTTCAACTGTGTCTCGAGTTATATTTACAATACCCTGATTTTGTATAATGCGTACTATGCGGTCTCTACCACCATGTTTCACCAATTTATGCGCTTCATCAATGTAGTTATATATTTCTTCTAAGGCAACATAAAATTTTTTGGGAGAAATATTTTTATCTCGAGTGTTTATTCCAAAGGTACAATTTTCAGGTTTACATGACAATCTTTCTTTACCATCTACGTTAACAACTATAAATTTTCGCAATAAATAATATTCTCCGGGAATGTTACAAGGGGGATTATCTTCCATCGCTTTTATTTTTTCCACAATATCATTGTATTTTGTCATAGGGTACACATTTCGGATTTTTCCACCCTTAAACCGCTTCCAAAGAGCTGCATTAAACTCTTCAACCGGAACGCGGTTATCCATTTTAAATACACGAAAAAAAACAAACCATTCTCCTAAAACTAAACATTTATTTTTTTACGTAAACATTCAGCATTCACGGTTACGATCTTGAAATTTTTTTATAAAGAGAAACCAAATTACATTCATCACACGCCTGTCAAACGAAAAAGCTGCACACTGTTTAGTTGCCATTAGCAAATCAAAATGAAAGTAAATACCCATATTAATTGACAAGCTAACTTCATAGATACGGTGAGTAAACAAATTAAATTTTGTAATTTATAAAACTAAAGGGCTGCTTAGAGAAAAACTAAATATTAATGCATATTCCTTACCATTCTTACACTCGAACAAAATCTAAACCGAAATACAACTTAAAGAAATAAAATTGAAGATAATTTTCTTACCTTAACTTTTCCTCCCGGCACTAAGGGAAGCAGAGATTTCTAGATCCAATAAATGCAATAAAAATATCAATGAAAACAAACATTTTTTCAATGCGCATACACCCAGAAGCTTAAAAATCACAGAACACTGAATATAAATAGAAAAACAAAAAGGAAAATTGAAAAGTCTCCGGAAAGGGGAGGGGGAGATTTAGCAAGCATTTCGAGGAACTGACCTTCCAGAAGAGTAGATATGGGGGAAAAGTAAGTATAATTTTAAGCATCGTACTTGACCAGACTTGCATCAAATTTTCTGAAATATGCATGTTCTTACATGTTTATAAACTATTTAATAACAAGGATTTTAAGTTGAAATTTTTTTTTATTTCAGTTAACAGTTTTCTTCACAATACCTAAAAAAACATATAATTCAAAAGTACATTAATTTATCTGATAATTTAAATATTTCTTTGCGTGTTTAACATTCTCATTGTACTGACCAATCATATTTCAAATTTTTGTTACCGATGAAAACAGGCCCGCGCCAAGCCTAATCTGCGCTGTTGTGAAATGAACTGAAGTAATAACTGGCGCGAGGCGCTGCTGTTCGTGACGTCAGCCTGTTCCAAGTTCCAAGTTACACTTATGCCGAGATTATCAAGCATTCTGCTTGATGTGTTCTGGCTTTCATCAGATTGGGCGCTGAAAAGAGAATAAGTTCGAAGTGTGAGTCCAGAAGGGCAGGAGCTAATGGCGAAGGGGCGTGACCAGTTGTCAAGTGGGCTGCAAGCTGACTTATCATTCGTTGCGAGTCTTCTGAGGAATACTTCGCTAAAATTGCAATTAAATACAGTACAAAACATATATGAAAGTAGAAATAGTAAAATTAATTATATAAATCAGTCTTTTAAATTATTTACATATGCATATTAGTCCAAGTACGTCAGGAGATAAACACAAGGCACGGGAAGAAGAGCACGTAAACTAAGATGAGGCTCAGACGCTTGCTACTTGAGTTTGGTGTCACTGAGAGTAGATACTATCGTGATCATTATTTAATAGACACTAATTAAGTGGGAAAGTCTTGATTTTCGTTAATCAGGTAAGCAGCATAAGGCCTGAGAAACCTATCTTCAGCAAGTATCTCGTAGTGAAACAAGTTAAAGTTCATAAGATGTTTCACAATTTACCGCACCATTGAAGAAACTTGCATTAATCTTGCAAATAAATTGATTTAGTGGTTCAATTTTCATGTCTCTATGCAATACTTCGTTTCTGACATAATAGTTGGGCGTTTGTGCTAATCCTAAGGAAACTTGTTCTGCACTTTCTGGAGTTTCTCTATATCTTTTTCAGTGGCGGTAGCCCAGGCTGGCGCCGTACTAAGATATTGTCATAATTTGTCTGACGGTACTAAGATAAATTAGTCTTTTCTTATACAGATCCAATTTTGAAAATTTTCCTATAATTTGGGAAGAGACATTTCATGACTCTTAGTGCATGGTTACGAACATTCTCAATATGTGCAGTCCAGGTAAGTCGATTATTGATAGTTATGCCAAGATATTTAACTTTATTGACAATTGGCACTGGTTCGTTAAACAGTAACAGTTCCTTTTTAAGGGGGGCATTCCTCTTTCTTTTTCTGACAATGAGGAGTTGGGATTTTTGTGCATTAATCCGGACTTTCCAGCGTTTGCACCAGTTTTTAATGTAAGGGACGTTTTCCTGTAGTTTTTTTAATTGCATGATTAAGATTCGCTAACTTCAACTTCAACCGCAACAGCAGTGTCGTCAGCATAGCATGCAAGTATTGCATTATTATTGCAGTGGATTTTCGGGAAATCTGCGAACGTAGAACAAGTAGAGTATCGGACCTAAAACTGATTCCCTGAGGAATACCGCTCAGCATGATTCTTTTAGTAGAGAGGGAGTTTCCAACGGAGACTTTAAAATTCCTATTCGATATGAAAGAAAATAGCACAAGAATGAGTTCTCTTTCAAAATCAAGATCAATCAATTTGCAAACTAGCCCCTCATGCCAAACGCGGTCGAAAGCCTTCACCACGTCTAGCATGAGGACAACTGTATTCAAATTATTGTGAAGTGCTTGCCCCACAAAGTCAGTAATTCTTACTAATTGTTTGGTGGTTGATAGATGTTCACGGAATCCAAATTGCTCCGGTGGTAGCTTTTGGAGATGCAATTTCATACGGGACGTCAGCCTGCGTGCTGCATGGACTTATAAGAGATAGACTAACCCAGTGGGCGGGGCGCGCGAAACCGACATGTCGGCAAGAAAGAGTAGGGACGATCTGGTTTACTTTAACACTGAAACCTATGGCGTTTGTAACACATAACTCTTTTTAATTATTAAATGTGATACGTTGTATAGTGATGAGATTATGAAAGCCACAGTTTTTCCAAATAGGATTTAGTATATCTCATTAAAGCACTTTTTACTGCATTTCGCGCATTTTTTTCCCGCGTAATTCTTGTACAGTCGGTCACAAAAGTATTCGAACACCGGCACCCATTCAGAAAATTTACTTTTCCGTTGAGAAACAAAATTGTCTCCAGAGTCCATCTTGGTTCGACGGAAAAAAAATGGATGGCTCATGTCCAAAATTGGCTAGGTGCATGAAACAAAATACAACATGATCTATCTGGGTGAGAGATGAGAAACAAAATGGCTGCTCACGTGATCCATTACTGCGCTCAGAGAAAATGCAAAGGGTCGCTGCGGCCCGTCTCGTTTCGCGAAGAGTGAAAAGCCAAAAGATTCTGCAGTGTCTATCTTTGTTGGATGAGAAAACAAAAGGATGGCTCATGTCTAATTTATTTAGGTGTGGGAAAAAATATAACGTGATCTATCTGGGTGAGATGTCTCCAGCGATCCAGTATAGACTTTTCCCCCATCTGCAATAGGTGACATCTATAAACAATTCCATTGAAATCTCCTCGAAATATAAGAACACCTAGCTCGTCAAATTGTAAGGTATTCCCAAAGAATTCCACTTCTTGAGAAAGAAAAAAAATCCTAGATCTAGAGGAGGTAGAGAGAGAAAAAGAGCATACTGCACCTTGGACAGCCCGCACAGTTCTGAACAGAAAACGTGGAATGCTTTTATAGAAAAGAGTTGAAAGTGAAAGTAAAAACCAAATCGTCTTGGGTGGAAAATTTTCTCTTGGCTGTCGACTGGGAAAAATTTTTCAAACCTCAGAAAAAAATTCTGAGATGTAAAAAAAAAAAGAAAAAAACTTTTTGTTAATTTTTATCATGTCTTCTAGACATGATAAAAATTAACCCTACCTCCTTTTGTCTGGAAATGTTGTCTCACTGTTTCTAAAAATAGAACATGACTCATTCATGGAATTATATGTTTTAGAAAGGATGAGTCATGGTCTTTGGATTTCTCCTTTCCAAAGTAAACAAAGCGAAGACATCAATTTAATAGAAAAAAAGGAACAGGTTTTTTTTTCTTTTTTTCTTTTTTCCAGCTCTGGAAATATTTTTCCCATTCAACAGCCAAGAAATATTTCCAGCCAATACAATTTCATTTTTACTTTCACTTTCAATTCATTTCTTATATCTATAAAAACATTTCATGTTTCTGTTCAGATCAGTGTGGGTTGTTCAAGATGCAACATCTCTACTCCATCCCACAACCACGAAGAAAAGATGTTCTTTCATGAGGAATTCTTTTGGCTTTCGAAAACAATGATGACATGATGATTGTAATACATTTCTGTTCTCATGTCCCATGATTGAACTCAGAATTATTTCCAGAACTCTGAGAATTTTTCCTAGTCAGCTCGATGAACCAATATTTTTTAAGCCACTCGAGTTTCGACTTCCCATCCGTGTGTGCTGTGCATTCAACCTGGAGACACATTCCCTGAGCTCTAAGAAAATGTTTCCCAGCCCACTCAATCGCTGAAATGGATTAAAAATAAATTCTTTCATACATTTTTAAAGCTCAAGCGTGTTAGCTGTCATGGAAAGAACCTTTTTTTTCCCTGAGCTCTAAGAAAATGTTTCCCAGCCCACTCAATCGCTGAAATGGATTAAAAATAAATTCGTTCCTACATTTTTAAAGCTCAAGCATGTTAGCTCTCATGAAAAGGGCCTTTTTTTTCCCCAGCCCACTCAATAGCTGAAATGAATTAAAAACAAATTCTTTCATACATTTTTAAACCTCAAGAGTGTTAGCTGTCATGGAAAGAGCCTTTTTTCCCCTGAGCTCTAAGAAAATGTTTCCCAGCCCACTCAATCGCTGAAATGGATTAAAAATAACTTCTTTCATACATTTTTAAAGCTCAAGCGTGTTAGCTGTCATAGAAACTGAAATTTATGTCATGGTTTGTGTCTCACACGTCGTCAACGGTATGGTTTGAGGTGTCTTTCAATATCATGACATCTCCTTTCAAATAGGATTGAAGGATTTTTCTTAAACTATGTTGAAATCTTGTTGCATCCAAACCACGGATGGGAAATTCTGATTCATGGATGGATCATCCAATTTCGCTAGAACCTGATAAACGGTTGCTGATGAAATCCAAACGAGGGGCATTAGCTTTTCAAAAGGGAAACATTTTCCCCTAAACAGAAGAATGATTTCTATTCTGTGAGAC